TTTATTTCATTGGAGAAAGCATCTGCAATGACAACGCAGTCTCAACAGTGAAAGTAGTGACATGCAAAGAATTCGGGGCCAGGAAAGTACAGGTTGCTTTAAGCAGACAGAAGATATGGTAGATGTACTGTATATAGAATGGGTCATGGTCTTGACCAACAGGTGGTGATGATGGAATGGTATGATCTGCTTTGTTTAGCGTTAATGAAACAAGACAGAGTCCAGCTGAGCAGCTGTGGCCAGTGCAGCCTTGTTCTCAGCCAATCGCGACCTGGGATGACCCTAGAGGAACGTGTCATTGTGAGGAAGAGTCCAGAGACGAAGAGGAGGCCGGAGGAAGGTGGAGAAGTGGAGACTTTCCCTCCGTCTGAGTGGTTGATAAAAAAACACAGCTCCCTGATATGACATGCAGGGCTGTTCCTGTGATTAATGCTGCATTGCCTCTTCTTGTTTTCTGGCTTCATCCCACTGGTAAACTGTTTGACCTCAGAAATAACACTATTGAGTCCCTATCTGAGTCCCTCCAAGGAAAAACCAGACCAGAGAGTCCCACCACAGACTGTTTAAGACTTCAGTTGTAGATAAAATGAGACTTTAGGTCTTTGGGTGCATCTATTTGCTTCCCCTGAAATTATATATTAGTTATCATTCTTGTCTTTTTAATCCTTTCAGATATTACTGTAGCTTTTGACCAACCATCTTTATTTGAACAGATTAAGTGGATACTGCTTTGGAGAACATTTGTGTGGCTAAAGGGAACTATAAACCTTTCAGCTTTTATCTTACATGTGGGGTCCCGCAGGGATCTGTACTCAGTCCTTTACTATTCTCTATCTACATGTTAATTTAGCTCCATATTAAAAAAGTATCATATCCATTTCTGTATTTATATAATTCTCACACCCACTGCTTTTTTAAATCAAATAATGTCATAAAGTATTTTAATTAAACTCAATTAAATCAGAAGTTATTATCAAATGTACATATTCTCTGTCTTTAAATAATCCTCATCGCAGGAATATCACTTGACAACAAAGGTTACTCTGCTTCCAGTTAATTCCAGAATACGACTCACATAACTTTCATGAAACCAGTGACCCTTCACAATCGTATGTTTCTCCACTGATTTCTTGCTGTTTCCTTTGATTTATTATGATCTCGCCTCATTCTCAGTTAAAAAGTGATATGTCATCGACATGATGTGAACTCAAACACAAGTTAGACCTCAGACTGTTTACATTACGATTTGGAAGTTGTCTCCCATGATTTCTCTTATCAGAAGCCTTTTTACACCCTGCATTACTGAGGCGAGTAAGCAAGATAGGGACGTCAACGCTTGTGGTAATGCCCATCCTGATGATAAAGTCAAAGCAGAGGCAGACCCATTGCTTTGTTTCCCATGTCTGGAAACTGACGGACAAGTAAAAGAGGGAAGTGATGAGTTATTTCAAGGTGTGAGCTTGTGGGGTGGGTTGCGTCTTATTGAGGCACAACTGTCCTCCCTTTCTCTTTGGCAGATAATAGCTCCGATAGAGTTGGCAACACAAAGGGAACCGCCATTGTTTATAAGTCCTGCTTCTATTTCCCACTGAACATGTTTGTTTTCAGTGGTAATTTACAGAAAATGACATTTAAAGTAAGAATACAGCAGAAAAGATCAAGTCGAAAAGCATGAGCAAGATCTTAGATTGAGACAACACTCTCCCAAAGTGTTAATATAAGGTCATAATGAAAACCCTATCAGGATATGAAGTCTTAAATCTCGTATACAATAAATGATTTACAGGATTAATTACAGTTCAATATTGAACATGATAAGATAAGATGAACTTTAGCAATCCCACTGGGAGAAATGTGTTTCGTTACAGCAGCAGCAGGATATGGACCAGATAGGTATTCAGTTTTACAGGAGGTGTAGTAGTAGTATTGCAAATGATATTGAGCAATAGCTGCATTTATTATAAAGAAATATTACATATGGAAGTGATTTGTAGTTTTACATTTTGTAATAATGCATTCCAAATTAGCATTTCCCTACCTTGTATGAACTACATGTTTTTTGTTCTATTTTCTAGCAGTGAAAATAGATATGAATCCATGGCAATGCTGACATCTAGTGGTGCTGCCTCATTTGTACACAAATCTGTCACTGTTCAATTCTGTATAACTGCTTGTATCATGTCTTTCATGTGTATTTGTTGCAACTTATTAAGACACATACAGTAAATACACGAATGAGCTTCAACCACTGCGTGGCTCATGAGGAAAAGATTTGTGGAAAGCTGAATGAAGTAATGAGAATGTGATCGGTTCAATATTTGTGTACAGCATGATGTTAGTGCGGCTGCGTTGTGTCAAATACAGGGAGTCTGACTGAGGCCTGTGTTGCAGAGCAATGTCAAGGCTCACTTGTCGAGCATGTTCGCTGCTAACGACATTTTGCTGAGTGACATCATCATCGCAGTGAGGTCACCCTGGGCACACAGAGGTGCCATGATGCCCTTCTGTTTGTTTAGAGTGAAAAGCTGACTGGATGGACTGCAGGGACAGAGCGGGGCTGGTGCATGAAATGAACATAAAACAGGAACAATTTATTAATAAACTGATGATTTTGTGTTGCTAATTAATTAACTGATCATTTATGTCTAAACATACTTGATTTAATTGTACGAAGGAGTTAACACCATTTTATGTGCGTTTATACAGTTATAAACTTTATTTACTTTACTCGCTATCAAGTGCGATAAGATAAACAAGCACTGAATTGTTGTTATGAATTTAACCCCCTTGGTGGTCTGTGCCTGTGCTGGAAAAAAGCCCTCACTTCACATATAATCTAACCTCACACTTCATACCTCAAGAAGCCCAAACCAAATAATTCATCTCCTTTCAAGTGTGAGATAGGTACAGATAACTGCAGCTAACACACACTGCAAGACAAACTCTGCCACTTCTCCTCTTTTTGTGTCACAATTATATCTTTTTGTCATCCGTATTTAAAGGTCCATTGTGTAAGATGTAGGTGAAAGGATCTAGTAATGTTTTCACTAGTGTCAAATCATCTAAAGAATACAACTTGTTGTTTTCTTTACCCTAGAATGTGCCCTTTATATTTAAATACTTTATATTTACATCTGAAGCGGGTCCTCTCTATGGAGGCCGCCATGTTTTTTACAGTAGCCCAGACTGGAGAAACTAAACACCTTTTGAGTTTTTATGACAACTGAAGGCTGCCACAGGTTCTAGTTCATGTTTGGAAGGGAAGGGTGAGGTGAGGGGTGTTCAGCTGCAACATGCAACTTCACCACTGGATGTCACTAAATTCTACACACTGAACCTTTAAAGTTATACTGAAGGTCCATTTTGAAACACAGAGCTGTATTTGTGGCACTATTCTGACAGATGGCCACAGGTTTTCTCCAAGCACTGTCAGGGCAGCCACATTTTCCCCACTTTTCCTGCTTGAAAACTGAAACTAATGAATTGAATGACTGACAGTGATAGTTTTTGTTATAGTTTAGTTATGTTGACAATTTGGCTATCTTTACAGATCTTATAACATACTCAAGATCACAAACTGAGACAAACAAAGCAAGTAAACTAAGGTGGAGTGAGGGGCTGCTTTTGAAATGTATAAATAAAGATTAATAAAGAAAAAATCCCAATGAGATGGAGTGAAGATAAAGAATAAAGTAACAGAAGTTTGAGATACTCAAGCAAAGTGCATGACTGTCACCACTAGATGGTGCTGACATCTCGTCTTCACACTGCCTTCAGGGGCTGTGGGACGTGTGCACCATGTCGAGGCCTCCTCCAGGCGAGTCAATAAAGTTTAGCACCTGAACACGTTTTGGAAATGAGATGACAGAGACTGACTTGACTGAACAAATGTGACTGCAGGGCATATCACGGGATGAGCGAACATCTGGAATGAACGGTTCAGGGAAATCAAACTCAAAATATGAATAAACTCATTTTAAGTTAGAGATCGGATGTATAAAAGTAGTTAGGTGAAGAGTAAAGAAGGAGTTCCTGCACTTAGTTACTAAAGAGATAAAAATGTTCCAATTCGCTCAGAATAATAGAGAAAACTTTTAAAAAAATGTTTTTTATTAATGTTGTAATATTCCTCCAAGTCAAACCTGTGAACGTTATAAAAAATTGATTTATTATCACTATTATTATGATCAAATACTTGTTTTATCGCCTATTTAACAATACAAGTTGATAAAAGGAGTAGAATCAGTGTTGCTGAGCAAAACGAATCAGAGTGAATCACTTGTGTTTAATTTAGTCCAGCTCATTTTGTTCCCTCCTGTACAAACATATTAGTCACTGATGTTACACAACTAGGACTAGTTTTCTTTTTTTAATCTTCAGATAAACATCAGTAACTTTAAATGGAGCGAGAGGTCCACCTCCTGTTGGATCAGCCATCAACAGACACTTGACATTGAGATAAGGAAACAGACAGAGCGTTTCCACTGAGACGCAATCTGTACGGGTATATGCAGAAAGACAGAGAGAAAGAAAGCAAGACAGACAGATAGACAGATAGATAAATAGATAGACTCTTCAATTAATACTCAAAATATGTGCACTGCAGGATTACTTGTATTAATTATATAAGAAGAACATTTAGCATTACAAAAAGTAAAATAACACATATTATATATTCTTTAATTCCATATATTAAAGAACAAATAAACGCAATAAGCTGCCAAATCATTTTTCTTTTTCTTCTTCTTATCCTATTTCATTCTATTCTGCAGAGAAACCCCTGTGATTTTACATCCATGGCACAAATAAAGCACCGCAGACCTGCATAATGGTCTCGAGCAATTCACACATATTTATTTCTTGCATTTTAGAAGCTTCAAGCCAGGGAGTGAAATCCGGACAGGTTGTTATAGCTACGCGATCCACAGGGGTCCCGATGTCTATTTAAAACCTCGCGGACCCTCCCTCTCTCCCCTTTAAACAACATTATATATCACACACACTGCATGCTAATGCGAGCGATTCCCAATGAGCCCTAAAACACATCTTTAAATTGAGTGTTGAGTTGAAGCCGCCTGACTCGACAACAGAGGGAACATATCATCAGAATTCCCCCTGTGGCAATACCTGCTGATTGGGTCCTAACGCAGCAAGCAGCCTTTAACTTTTAATATTTGCCTCCCGAGTCCTGCCACGAGTAGTCGCGACTGTTAGACAGGAATAAAAAGAAGAAAAACAAGCACCAGAGCAGGTCCAGGCTTTTTAATTTCTTTGTTTTGTTTGTTCGCTTCTTCTTCTTCTTTTTGCTCGCTCCTTACTTTAAACCCCACCGTGCGCGCCTCTATGAGCGCGCATGAAGGCATTCTGCTGGAGAGGTTTTTGCGAAACTTTAAGGATGATATACTCTGGATGTTTCCTGTTGCTCTGTGGGCTCTCACATGTCATGGCAAGTTATCCCATCTGGTGGTAAGTTCTTTATTTTAACTTTATGTCCCCGGACGAACAGCCACTCGTTGTTATTATTGTTGTCATTTTGAAATGTTGGGAAGGAACCACGAGGATCTGATGCTGCTTGGTTTTTAATTTGGTTTGTGACAGCAGCGGAACATTGAGGTGCACTGATGGTGAAGCAGGTTTTTTTTAAACCTTGAACATGTGTATTCACTACTTGACTGTAAAAATATGTATGATTAATTCTAAAACTTTGGCAGAGAATCGAGTTCTAGTGAAAACTTTATTCCTAAACGTCTTGTGATTATTCTTAAAGCTCATAGAGGACACAGATAATTGTAGATTCAACTATGAAATTTGACTTTAGAAATGTTTTATTCAGAGATGCAGCAGGTGCAAAGTTTGTGTGTGTATGTGTGTGCAGATACATGTAAGTGTCTATGGTGGGATGTGGGGTTCAAGGGGGCAGAACAGGGATGAAATGTGAAATTGTCACCTCACTTTAGCCTTAATGGTCAGATTCTGTACGTGCCTATACATGCACAGCCACATGGTACATACAATGTAAGGTGTGCAACATGTGACATGGAATAATTACTTTAATAATTCCATTTTTCTTCTAACACTTCTTTCACTTCAACCAGACACAGCAGGAGAACAAGTAGCAGCATTTGCACATGGACGTCTCAGTCAACTACTGATTTATTTCCCATCAGTTTTCTTTCCAAAACTTGTCAGAAATAAAGAAGTATTGATCATTGATGCTGCATTTCATTATTGAAGAACTTAACCTTCATATGTCTTTGTTGCATTTTCCTTTTTCTCTAGAAGCAACAAGTCCATACAGAGCATGCAGTCTAATTATCACTCGTGTTTAAACATAACTTTAAAATATTGCCATTGATTTGCACAAGGAGTAAATCCTCTGGAGGGGCTCTCGTCTGGTTTTACACTGTCCATGCTCAGTGAACATGACTGTTGGTTTTTTTTTTTGCACTAAACAAATACATGATGCCCTCTTTTCTTCACTGAACCATTCACTATTTGGCTCAGATTTTGTGTGTACCCTAATGTGCTTCCCTTAATGGGTCCCCTGGTGGTATAACTGATTTGAAACTAATTACATGCTCAGCTGGAAGGAAATCCTGATGCAACAGCAGGTCCTCAGGTCCAAGAGATGGACAGAGAAAAAATGACCCAAATGAGTCTTCTTCTGGTTCGAGTTGTTGGTTCATGCACAAAGTGAACTCTCCAACTGAATTGATCTTCAGTTAATGTGTTGAAACGGTTTGTTTTCATCTGATTCAAGCAGGTTTTACTCCTTTTTGTTGGATGTCCGTAGACGTCCATGTTGAATTTCAGTCTCCATAGGAACTTTTCTTATTTTCTCTTTTGTGCAGCCAGTTATGAATGACACAATGGAAGGCATTCTGTCATAACCAAAACCCTGCAGCGAGTCCAGAATGGACCTGTGTGTTGATGGTTTGATTTCAGAGGGTGGGTCAGGTCAGTGATTGAACAATGTTGAGGACAAAAGCAAAAGAGGCAAGTGAGCATGACAGGAATAACTCGGCTGTGTAGCACATGAAGTCACCTATGAGTTCTGACGTTTTGAGGTAATAGGCTACTGCAGTTTTTTTTTTGTTTCATGCAAGACTGCTGATGTATTTTGTGTTCATGGCAACTCATCCCAAGTCAAATAGTGTGGTTCCCTCTGGATTGCACTCAATGAGCCTGCATTGTCGCTCCGTTTGCAAACAGCATGTCAGTTATCTTAGAGCTATCACTTTATGTGAAAAGCTACTGGGGTGGAGGCTTTGCTGACAGAAGCTGCTGAACTTGGCTTCGAGTAGCCATTGGAGCTGCATCACACACAACCTCTGTGCCACGGCAGTCTGAGGGGGCACAACTCTGCACCAAGACAGGTTCATGTCTGTCTCTTTTTCGACCTGCCATGACATAGCCGGGCTGCAGACGCCACCCCGCCACCCCCTTCCCCAGTCCACCCCACCTTAGAAGATAAATACCTGGAGGTGAAAGCTTGCCGCACATTCCTTCTCCCAAACATATTCTCTTGATGTCAAAGTCGGCTCCAAGGCCCCAGGGCCCACAAGTAAAGTGGTAATTCTAAGGTACCCTGCTTGGGCTTGCTGAAATATGCATTAAACCTGCACTAGATACACTTAGATGAGAGGGGGAAAGTCTGCACTGAGACAAAAAATGTATGTGATGTATGTTTTGCTTAAGTATTTATTTGTAACAGTTTCACCAAAGTGCAGAAAACGACATTAGACAATCCTGTTTCTTCACCAATTACACTGAACACCAGGTTCTCTGGAGGGCACCTGAGGAGATAAATGGGTTTTCAGAAGGAATTAGAGAGATTGAGGAGAAGAGAGCTCACTGGATGCCTGAAATCCAGACAACACACAAAATACTTGCAGCTATGTTTAAATATTTGTTGAAGCAGGTATCTAACAACACTGCTCTCACTGCAGTAGCTCCTTAAAAAATCATAAATCATCCCTGGAACATGCCCAACCTCCTCTAGTAGGACATTTCCTAACACAGGAAGACGTGGCATGGATTACTCAGCCCCGCTGAGACAGACACAGAGACATGCATGAGTGAAGCAACCTAAACACATTGACTCATGATGGGCTTGTGTGACAAAATCCTAAAGGATGACTCGGTAGTGATGCATGCAAAAAAGATCCTCACAAGTGTAGTCCTGCTGTAGGACTTCATTAGACCCACTGCAAAGAGTGAACTCCTACGTTTGCAATCGAGCAAATCACATGACAGTTTCAGCGTTCTTCAGCTGCCTTGATTGGAGCTGATTTCAGCTGTTGAGACACCAAAAATCAAGTTGATGAATGTGCAATGAAAACTCAGAGGCGCCACATTCTTCTGTAGAGTAAAAAGGAAGCGGAGGAGTTTTTAAGTCTAGATTGACAAGACACTACTACTTAAAATCTGCAGGCCTCCAGCAAGTGTTTTCACCTCCCATCAAGCATGCACTGAACTCTGGATATTTCCCTGAAATTTTGTATGTTTTGTACAAATGGTTGTATGTGAGAACGCTCATTTTACAGAGGTTTTACAGAGGTTTTCCTGCCAGCCCCCTGGTAAAATGTGAGAATACAGCAAGAAAACGTCTGGAAAATTTACAAGCAAGCAAGTTGACCCGTTGGTGAAGTTTCTTACATGCAACCAATACAAAACTGGAAAAAATAAAATATATCAGGATGACGAGGAGGCCAACGAAAATGTCAACTTGGAAAGACGACAAGACCTGAGAGCTTTTGACAATCTTGTTGTTGTGAACACATCTGACCCAGACATCACCTGCTGCATTCTTCATATGTGATAGGCGAAGTCTGGAAAATATTCCAAAATCAGGTCCACTTCCTTTCTGACAACTGCGAATGATAATCTGTGATTAGCAGTTGTACAGTGTGTATTTCTGATCTGTCTGTTGATTGTATTTGGGTCGAAATGAAAGTCTTCACCAGTTTGGGCTGTGTTTTCTTCTGGTAGTGATGTGCTTCAGAGAGTATGGACTGTCAAGGGCCAAAGAGAGGTCAATTTGTAACAGGAGTGCCCTTGTTTACTCATGGATGTTGTAGACAAATGTGATTTCCTCTGGAGACATTTTCAACCTGCCTTTACTTGCTTACAGGATGTCTCATTTATGATTAACTAGTGTTGTCTAGGCTGTGGAAATTAGGCGAGAAGTTCTGTTAAAACCAATAGTCCCAAGTCACTTACAAGGTCAGATGGTGGCTTACACTCACTTTGACACCTGACAGAAAATAATTAAAGTGTAAGCTTATAAATGGAGGAAATCAGCCTTTAAATATCGGTACATAGTTGAGGTATTCAGGGTCAACATGTTGGTAGGCATCAGAAACCCCCTGACAAGGGTCATGTTGCAGAGGAGCTCTTTTCTTGGGTTGTGATGTTTTAGAGAAAGCAGCCTGAGGCCAGTGTCAGGGGGTTTAGTTAATCTTGTTGTGATCAGCGATTAGTCTTTGAACGACGGTGAACAGGTCAACAGATAGTGAGCTAAAAAGGCTGCACACCTGCTCTGGCTCCGACTTTGTGCAACAGCTACAGTAACTGCTGTTGAGCTCGTACCACTGAGGGAAGGAGCATCAGACGACCGCTGCCAGTGTTTGTTATTTAATTGACAGTTGATGTGAAGTGAGGGCCTGTCTGCATTGCCAACAAGCTACTTTGTAACTACTCTGCGGGGCATTTGCCAAAGATAATAGGAACTGTGCTATTAAATAATCAAGTCGTCAAGATACATTTCAATAAAAACTGAACATCTCAGGTCAACAGGTCACGTATAGAAAAATTGTATTATGTGTGTAGATAGATAGATCGATAGATAGATTCCCTCATATCATTAAGATCCATAAATTATTTTGTGAGAAACCAAGGAAAATGTCAAAAAAAACACAATGTTGCAATGTTGAAGAAAGTGAAAAGAAAATTCCCTGCTCTGGATCCACACCTATACCGCATCCTTTCACCAAGTAGATACGATCCAGTGATACAATGGATAGATCTCAATTTCTATGATTACTGGTTACTAAAAGTCCTAATTGAGAGAACGAAGAAAATAAAGACAGAAAGACAGAGAGTAAGCAATAAAGGCAGTGAGACAGAGAGATGTAATCAGTGAACCAAGTTTGCACTTGTTGTATCCCAGAATACCTTCCTCAAAGGAAAGGGGCTGGGTGTGGGGGGGCTCAGTGTTACACTTAATACACTCTCTGAAGTTTCAGTGTAGGGTTTGCACTCTTATTACCCTAAGCTGAAGGCCTGTTAAGTGTGTGGACAGTTAATAACAAGGTGTAGTTTTCCAAGTTGTCAGCTTAAGGTCTATGAAGACCTCGAGATGCATTGTCGACTTTCATCTTAGACAGAAACACTGGCTGCCTCAGCGGTGGCAGGGCTGCAATTTCAATGCACACAAAGGCCAGGTGTCTGCAGAGAGGGTAGTTGAAGGGATAAAGGATGGACCCTAATGGCAGTATCAAGATACTGCAAATAAACAAGCACAATCAAACAGACATAAAATTACCATGCGCCTCAGGAGACTTTGACTTAGTTGGTGGTAAATCAATAGACACAGACACAGACGTGTGGTAAGATAGGCTCCCGGAAAAGCACTGATGTGACTTCTGCTTCTCTTTTAGGTCACTAGCAGTGGGCCACCAGTACTCATCGCTGGGCACCCAACCTATTCTGTGTGGCAGCATCCCTGGTCTGGTGCCCAAACAGCTGCGGTTCTGCCGGAACTATGTTGAAATAATGCCCAGTGTGGCCGAGGGGGTGAAGATTGGCATCCAGGAGTGCCAACACCAGTTCCGAGGCCGACGCTGGAACTGCACCACAGTCACTGACAATCTGGCCATCTTTGGGCCAGTGTTAGATAAAGGTAAAGGTGTTTCTCCTGCAAGATCTGACAATTATAAGACCTTTATTTCCTGCTATTTTCTATAATGCAAATTATAAAATTCGACAAATTCCATTCATAAATTATCTTTAAGATGAAAAGTATTGTGCTCCCTGTGACTTTAGCTTGTTGATGTCTGAACCCACTCAATGTCTCTAGGTCAATGTGTCTGGATGTTGTTCCCCCTCCAAATTACTTGAAGGTTTTTCAAACCATCTGTAAAAAAATGTTTACAAGTGACTTATCACATTTTAATGCAGGTTAACTCTTCTGTTAACAATCCAATATTCTCCATGTGGTACATTTACAATAGAAAAGCTGCATTATCTGCATATCCTCTGTTACGCTCAATCAAATCCTTGTTTAAACAGACTTTTGGCTGAAGTGAGCTGTACGCATGAAATAATGTACACAATTAAGACAAGTGAGTTCTGTCTTGTTGGCGTTTTCTTTAGAAGGAAATCCCCTTTGATTGTTCCTCTGTACTTTCCCCTGAAGCAGCAAAAAGCAATCTTTTATAAAAGATTTTAAACTGAGTTATACCCTTTTCACAAATATATTTTCCCCACTAGATTTTCTGATTACCAGTGTAGACGTATTCGATGATGTACGTCAATTCATGGTCTAATCATGGGATCAGACTGTAGAAATCCCCACAGTGCAATACAAGATTTGGGAGTGAAAAAACACACACACAGAAAACTAAGCAAAAAAATCAAAATCCATTTTTAATTGTATCCAGGAGTTGGGACGTTTTTTTAGGGATGGAAATAATCTGAGAATTTCTATATAGTGACTTTAAAAGTAATAATTTAATATTTTGAGAAATTCCTCCAGAGTTATCAGAAGATTCCCTGCAGTCAGATAGCCCTGCACCAAAATGCAATTTTTAAGTTTTGGTTTACGTACAATATAACCAATAAGACTTTTTATGGCTTCAGCAAATAGTTAAAATACTTTCTGTTTGAAAATTTGTGCAGAATTTGAGCTTTGTGGTTAGGGATCCAAGCCTGTCACCCACTTTGCAGATGACTGCTATAAACGCGGGGTGATGGAGGTTAGCAGGGGCAATTGCTTTTAATAAACTCCCTGAGCCAGTTGATAGAAAAGGCTAGGTGGCTAACGATGGGGGTTCTCAATCCGAACCTCTTTTGTGGTGCAAAATGCCACCGCATCTCTCCCATTGCCTCCCCTCCCAGGCCTAAATTGCAGGGGTACTGAGGGGAAAGAGGAGGCAGCTACTGGGCTTTAGTAAATCATTTTGATTGGATTAAGGTCACTGAGGCCCTTAATAATGTGAGAGGTCAAAGTGGCTGGATTAAGTGCCTTTGTCAGGGGCCGAGGAGAGTGACTCAGGGGCTCACAGGCCTTTGATAGGGCTTAGTAGGAGAGGGCTTCCATTTCATTGGATTTGATTGATGCTGGTGTTTGTCTGTGCAACGGGGCCATTGTCCTCACTGGTGTCTGTTTGTCTGCGATTCAGACCGGTGTGTGTCAGTTTCCTCCTGCCTTTTCGGGGGGGGGGGGGGGGGCAAAGCTGAAAGGAAAAGTAGGTGCCTTTATTGGCTTCAGCAGCTTAGTTCCTATCATTTAGCCCATCACTGCTCATGTCCTCCTCACCTTCACCAGGGGCATTAGTTGGTTTAACAGACGTGGATTATGCACTGGGAGAATTAAAAAAGGTAGTCGTAGTCGAAGAATAAAAAACGTTTATGCTTTCAAATACATAAGAAGACATATGCTCTCGCCAAGAAAGTGATCATACAAGGGCACGACCACACATAAAGATTCACCCATCTACATGCAGAATGTCGTTCTCACACCCAACTAAAAAAGATTTGAGTTACTCCTCCCTGTAAAGCAGACTTCTTCCTCTTCAGCATGTTCTTGCTCCCTTCCACATGGTGCGATCCTCTCCCTGTGTTTCTCTCTCACGCCACACCCCAAAACACGAGCCCTACCTCCAGGCTATGTCTGCGTCAGCACTCATTAATTTACATTAACTAAAGTGTCAAAACATGCTCTGCTGGAATCTGCCCGTGATGAAAAGCAAAAACCTGCACAGGTGTTCTCGGTCCAAAGAGCCGATCCCAGCGCTGTTTCGCCATTCTTGGTATTTGCAGAACAAGTACCTGCTATATGGGTGTAATCAGTCTCCAGTTTATGAGTCAAATGATAGAATTATTAAGGTCAACATTGCTATAAAAAGTGGACGGTCACAGCTTCACAGGTGTTGCCACCCAAACAGGTTCAGACATGCACCGTGACTGCCAGAAACCATTAAATTAAAATGAAGTTCATAGGAAACTGCTATTACGTAATATGCAAACCATGTAAGGCGGACTAAGAAAGTTTGAAACCGTAGACACTCCGACTTATCTAACTTTCATTTCCTTTGGGAAACCTAAACATCAACCTAAATCATTGAATTCCATCTTAACTAAAAAAAAAAGGTCAGGGGGTGTGGGTTACGACCTACGACCTGAGGATGAGAAAGTGTAACTATTTAGGATGAGCTAAGAGGTCTCTGCTTTTCATGAGACGTATGTCTCACCATGCTGGGGGAGGGAAACTAGCACTCCTGTTTATCATTAACTCTGGGCAAGAAAGAAAGAAGGGGTGTGGTAAATGGAGTTGATGGGGGGACCTTAGCCCCGCTCCCTGCTGGGCACTGCTCAGAGCACAATATCTTCACAACCATGAGATTAAGCAGGAGAAAAAGTGCTTTTCCCCATTCACACGCCCTTTAGATTGTTTTATTAAACCATTTGAATAGGGATTTCCCCGTCTGCCGACAAGCGGGGTCCAGCCAATGCATAGTTCTCTGTTGCTATGACTTAACTTGGTCTCCACTAATCACTGGCCAGGGCAAATTTCATATAAAATATCTGGGGCCATTGTGGGACTAACACAGCGTGACAGTGGCCGCACAATAGGGGATTCAACCCCCCAGCAGGTTGTAGGGACCACTTGGCCTGCCAGGTTCTGGCAAAGTTTGGTGGAGGAGTATTGTTGGAGGACAAGTGTCACTAAATACCATAAATTGGTCATAAAACTAATAAAAGCCATGACACTGATGTAAAAGTGCTTCCAGGTGAAGAAATACCATAGGTGTTTTTAACTCCAAATGGTGACAGCATGTTATCTGAAATACCAAGTATATAATGTAACTAGTTGTTTGATGAAGTACAGTATCAACAGCATTTGAGAAAAAACTTTTGTTTTCATCAACTCAAAACGTCTTCACTGTCATAACTGTTATTATTCACTAGACTGGAAATCACTGCACAATTGTAAATGTTGGATAATCACAAGAAAATCACAACCTCCTAAGAAACCTACTTAAATAATCAGGACATATTTAATTTGCCCTGAACCTTTTCCTTTGTTCATTGCATCCCGAGATAATCCTCTTTTCCTCTCTTATTTTCAGCAATCCCCTCTTGCACTGTGAAGCATCATTGCCAGTCATCCGTGAGGTTACATTTCAAACGGCGTTCCCCAAGGTTCTATTATGGGTCCACTATAGTTCCTATTGTTAATAATCTTGATCACCAGTTTGCGATGAATTAGATTAAATTATATTTCCGTCTTCATGATTTCATCTTATATAGCAGAGAAGAGTCTTAATAAACTCACACTCAGATCTTGGGTCAAATAGTTCAAACGAGTACATCAATTCACTTGCAGTTCAAAACTACATGAAGCTCATACTTGGTTGGTTTTAGATGATGCATGATGATATGTGATTAATCACTTACTTCATGCTGTAGCTTTCAGTTATCATGGTTACAAAGAAAGTACAACATTATCTATGTGAAATGATCAGTGGTTGGTGCAGTAAGAGGAAGGAGAGCAGAGGTTCATATGTACCATTAGTGTAAACATTCATGAATTGGTGCGTAATGTTAAGTGGGTGGTGGAGGATGCCAGTCGACCTTTTTCTCTTGCATCATTGTTTCTAATGCCCTTTAGTCCTCAGACTGGTTGGAACCTGCTGCAAGGGAGGTGCTCCTACTCCCTTGTTTCTCTTCTTTCTTTCTCTGTCATTCTTGTCTTTTAGACAGAATCATGCACTTGCATACGCACTGCCTCTTTTTTTCTGCCCGACAAGCAAATTACACACACTCCCAAACTATTGATCTTTAACCACATCAGTTTATCTCCTGACTCTCTCACATTGTTCATTGTTTACCCGCGGTGTTTCCACTTTCTTGATCTTGGTCTCCTTTCTTATTATTTTGTGCAAGACCGTACATGTGCATATATTCAAGGCAACCTTCCTGCAATAATGAGTCCTGTTAAAGCAACAAATGCTGAAGCATGCATGTCTTCCCTTCTGTAGCTGTTGTTTGGGATTGCATATCTGGACACTACGATCCCATCTCTGTGTTGTGTCTATGACTTGTCCCCTGAGTGTGAGGCCGTTTCCTAACCTTTCAAAAGCTTAATTGAGTCTCTTAATTATAGGCCTGTCAGACCTGTCTCTTCCTCTCATCTCTCTGGAAGATCCTGATCCCTCTGAGTCATTGCTTAGCTATGTCAGACAGAGACACAGAGGCCTTTCGGGTCTTATTCAGAGACAGGACGATTGATGTCTGGGCTGACTGAACCCACACACTGGTACACCTTGGTGGATATGACCTAAAGACATGTAGCTCATTATAGTAATGGGATCTACACTTTAGTATATATAGTTTGTTTGTGTTGTTGGGCTGAGAAGCATGCAATTACACAAGACCAAACACAAACAGATATCCACATGGAGAGGTGGTGACCTACGTACCCTAGGATTTATCCTACAAATAATAACTTACATTTTCTTTGAACTTCTACAGAGTTGTTTCTCTGCAGGTTTGTCTCATTCAGAAGTTTTTCCAAATGGTGCGTTTTTAACAAATTTGTGTAAATCTTCTTCCAGCCACTCGAGAGTCAGCATTCGTTCATGCCATCGCCTCAGCGGGAGTGGCATTTGCAGTGACCCGTGCCTGCGCCGATGGTTCAGCCACCATCTGCGGATGTGACACACGCCACAAGGGCCCCCCTGGTGAGGGATGGAAGTGGGGCGGCTGCAGCGAGGATGTGGAGTTTGGAAGCATGGTTTCCCGAGAGTTTGCTGATGCAAGAGAAAATCGCCCTGATGCACGTTCAGCCATGAACCGGCACAACAATGAGGCAGGAAGAATGGTACGTTTTCTAAATGTTCATTTTGAAGATGGTGCTGTGGCAACTTTTCTACTTAAATAACATTCGGTTTTTTATCCACAGTCCCTCAATGACAACATGTTCCTGAAATGTAAGTGCCATGGTCTTTCGGGTAGCTGTGAGGTCAAGACTTGCTGGTGGTCTCAGCCTGACTTCCGAGTTATTGGTGACTACATGAAGGATAAGTACGACAGTGCATCTGAGATGGTTGTAGAGAAACACAAGGAGTCCCGCGGATGGGTGGAGACACTGAGACCCAAGTACAACTACTTTAAGCCCCCCACAGAGCGTGACCTGGTATATTATGAGAGCTCACCCAATTTCTGTGACCCTAATCCCGAGACCGGCTCCTTTGGCACCCGCGATCGCGTCTGCAACCTGACGTCCCACGGCATAGACGGGTGCGACCTTCTGTGCTGCGGGAGAGGTCACAACACCCGGACTGAGAAGCGAAAGGAGAAGTGCAACTGTATTTTTCACTGGTGCTGCTACGTCAGCTGCCAGGAGTGCGTGAGAGTCTACGACGTGCACACCTGCAAATAGGGGTGAGGTGGTTCTCGTATTTTCTCACCAAAATTTAAAGGCACAAGAAAAATTACACTGACTTTGCTACAAGACACGAGAGACTGCGAACTTGTCTTGCCTGTGCGTGGACTCCGGCGGCAGAGATAACGGCCTCGTGATTTGTGCTGTGATGCTAAGACGAGCCAGTCTCTGTCATGATCAACTGATAGACGACAGTTGAGTCGATGCAGACATCACAAAGCATCACCCATATGAACTGTGACGGTGGTGATGATGACAACAATGTTGATATCTATAGCAATGACGAAAAGGTTTTCATGTACTGACGTAGGAAAGGGAGAACTGTCGCCTAAATGACAAACACCATATTGGTGATTTTTGTTTTCTTCTGTGTTCCAAGTAGTTTGTTGAGAATGGTACAGCACTGCCAATGTTTCAAGTCTATAGGGCAAATGATGAAAATGTCCCATGTTGTTTAATAATCATTTGTTTCTGCCACAAAAAGTGACAACAGACACTCAACAGCATGCATTCTCCTCCTCAACATTATTAGTATATGTGTGTTTATTTGAACACTAACATTGTGTGAGTGAGTATTTTGTTTCATCGTCATAGTGTGTAACTGATGTTTGGGTAAGAATGCACTTGCACCTGAGTGAATGTAGTTTTTATGCTGTAACGTGTTTACATGTTCACAAACTCTTAAGCTAATGAGTTAATATCTGCTTTAAATGACTAATTTCATCTGAGACATGAGCCACAACCACTGAACATTGGCAAAGCAAGAATATACACAAGCTGTGTCTCAGTTCAGGAGCGTTTTAGGATCGATTACGTCGTTTTTCGGAGGCATCTGCCAAATATGGTTGAAAAATACATCCTTAAATCCCAGAGAAACCATGGCTCCAACAGGTCCATACATTTCCATTTGGCTTAAGTAGTCTACACGACCCACTTGGCCCACGAAGACCTCCCACTTTGTGGGCTGCATAGACCATGTCCTTCTTCGATGGCCGCCCCTGAATTGGGACATAGCTTCCTTCTACGCATTTCACGACTGAAAACACTGGGAGCTTTTCCTTAAGAGCAACAATGCTTTGAATGACCAAAGACAAAAAGAAATGTTCGTCTGCTGTGGTCAGAGAGCTGTAAGCGAAGCGAAAGATCAGCACTTGTGTCCTGTTGAGAAATATGAAGCATGTTCTCCTTGTTTTTTTTTATCAGTATTAGCATTGTGTCATGTGACTGGTTGTGTGTGTGGGGGGGTACTGTTATTTATAAAAGGGATAGTTCCACTTTTTTGTTTCATTATTACAAATATAATTTTCAAATATTCGATCAAATAGAAGTAAAGTCTGTGCTCCCCGAGGAACAAGCAAACAAAATACAAACTAATGATGGATAAACTAAGCTGAGTCTCTTAAGCTCAGTTTAATGCAGTATAATTTACAGTTGCAGTAAAGTGATGACCAAAACCTGTGCATGTGATGATTCTCAGCTGTGGCTTATTGTTCCCCAAACTAATCAACAAGCAGCATCACTGAAACGATCAATACTTTCCTTATTGTAATGCTGCTAATTAAAAATAATATGTGTGTGCGTGTGTAGGTCCTCAGTACGTCTTTGTCTATGTGTGTTATTTGTATTTTCTTGCATGTATTGATTCTTTCTGTGAAAGAAAAATATTATATATATATATAGTTTGGAAAAAATGTGAAGTTTTGACTAATTCTTTTTACATACAGTAATTTCCATATAACCAAATAGACCAAAATAGAGTTTATGTTATTTTAGTTGTCGTAGTCGGGCCAAACGTCAGCGCAAAAATGATTCACATTTCTCTCCCTAAGATGAAATACAACAAAAAGCAGTATTTATTTATTTGCAAAGTGAAAAACTACAGGAAGCTGAGACAGAAAAAAAGTATGAAAGTAAAAAAATGTTCATGACAATGTTTGTGCATCAAGTCACTGATGAATTATTGTTCTTAGCCATTGTAATGGTGTGTCTCAGGCATGTATAGTTTTCAGGCTCTAATCAAAACTGCCCATCATGACTGAAAATATTAAAGAACAGCCATAACACATAAGTCATTCTTAATAAACTACACAGCAAATATTTTCAGTACAAGATCTACTATCTTGCGTTATTACTGTTCACTTTACATGTGATTGATTGCTTGTGTGTTCTAATTTTTTTTTGTTTTTAAATCCAAAGTTTTGTATAAACTAGTTTTGGTTTTTTTCTGTTTCATGGGCTCCTAAAATTGGATGTTTTTTATAATTATTTATTTCATGCTATGTACATATTAGTAAGTAAAAATATATATTTGCAGAAAAACTTTTTTTAAAACAGTGTTTTGACGTGTAACACTGTAGCCTTTTTACCTCATATCTGTTTTTTCACTGACTCCACACAGGTATCATTTGTCCTACTGCCTGTAGTAGATTTCTTAAGTTAACTCTTTAACACTGGAATAAAACATAAACAAATAAACTGTTATTATCTTTGACTGGACGTTACATGTAATAAATAAAAGTCTGATGCCCGTGAATCACACAGTACAAAGATGATGGTACTCTGACCATGGAAGCTAATGTGAGGTAAAGGACCACTATACATGTGAAATATGGTGGTCTGAATGGAAAACAATGCTTTTTTAAATAAAAAAATAATCACTTCCTTTTAAGTTGGGGGTAGTGCAAAGTGATGCCCATTTTCTGAACTTTAAATGTCCTTAATAAATTGAATTGAAGGGTGTTTGGACAGTAAATACCTCTAACGACCCATATTGCCATGTTAAAGAAAGTGGGGGGAAAATTTGCCCATTTATCAAGATCCGCCCTAAAACGTAATAAGTTTTACCTTTCCACAATACCTCATGGAAATATTCTGAAAAGGTGGAACGATTTCACAAGATTGAATTTATTCTGTAAAAAAAAAGGCTGCTATCTAACAATCAAAACATAACGTCCTGAGCAGAGGTAATAAAATACAAACAAATACACAAGTCGCACTGATCTAAGCCTTCCATAAATGAAATGAAAATAATTAACTAATTAATAGTAATATAATAATAATGCTGACAAAAAGGATAGAAAATTCCGATCTGTCCCTTTAACTGGATCTGCACCAAAATGAATGGGTTCTTGGCTCATACCCCATAACTCTAAAACGTTTGGTGCAAATCAGTTCAGCGTTCTCTGCATTATCCTGCTGACAGATAAACACACAAACAGAAACGGGTAAACCATAAACTCCCTGGTGGAGGTGATAAACCACTGTACTGGAACCTCCCACTCGTAATACTGGTTCCTGTTTTAAGCACAAAATGAAAAGTATGGACGAGCTGTCAGTCACAAACACCCATATGGGCTGTGGATTTGGACGAGGAAGAAAAGGAGAAAAAGGTGAAGCTGGACTAATAATTTGATTCCTTTGAGAGGCTGCAGAGGCCGGCTGTGCTTTTTGGAGAAACAATAATAACAGAAAAATGTCAGTGATGAGAAAACAGATGGAGTCTCGTTGAAGAGAAAGACCTGATCTCAAGATAGATTAGCGGCTGGATGTGAATAGAGCCCACCGGTGCTCCGGCTCAGCCCCTGGACCCCTGATAGTCTCTGAGCCCTGCAACAATGCCACAACCAGAGGCCGGGTCTCACTGCTATCTAACCCCATTATCACACAGAAAGATTGATACACACCCCCTCCAGAGTGGAAGCACCACAGAAAAAGTGATACCCTTCCGTTCTCATTCATGTGGATTCATTACTCTGGCCACTCCCACATCAAACTATATTTTAAGCCGTCTTTCACAGTTTGCCCTGTGACTGAAACTCATTACTTGAGTGTACTTATTTTCCCAGGCATGCATAGAAATACTGTGGCGTTTAAACCTTGCCTCGAATGGGAAACTCGGTTGCGTATGAACTCCTGGGAGTCGGCCCATGGCTCAGGTTTGGTTCAGTGACCGGGAGACTGTCAGCGGCTCATTCTCGACCTTTGACACTTTTCACACCATCGGGATGAAGAGAAAACAAGTACAGAACATGAAACAGATCACAGGATGGGCAGAAACTCCGGCCTGCAGCGACGCTCTCTTTTCGGCTGAAGGAAATGGGCCCTTCCCTTCCACCAGACCCACCTACAGCAGCTTTGTCACCCAAGTGAGATGCACATTGTTAGCAGATAGTTGCCAGAGGAGGCTGCGGCGGCCCCAGTGAGAGAGAAGGTGACCTGACTGTGAGAACTTCGACGCGACCAGACCGCAAGTGGCACCACCCAATAACCATATAAATGGGAGACAATGGCCCTAATTGCAATCAGTGTCCTCTTTTTATTTCATGTGCTGGGTTTCACCCTGACTTTCACAGGAGACAACGGCATGCATTTCAATAAAGCTGCGTTGTTGTGGGGACAGAGCACAGCGACGTATACACAGTGGTGTGGTGCAAAGGCCCACACTCCACTGACATGATGCAAATACTCCCACTGAAGTCACACTTTGGTCACAGCGAGCTTCTGTTTCACTGAAGCCTTTTGATGTTCGCTCAAACATTAAAATCTCTTCACGCCGGTAACAAACATGTCGGCCAGGATGGTTGTTGATGCCTGACGTGATCAATTCAATGTCGAAGAGGAGAAAAGTTGCAGGAGCAATGTGTCCGAGAGAGACACAGCTGTTCACATCTGTATGACTTTAAAGAATCTGATTCTCAAAGCTCTTCTTGTTCACACACAGTAGAGGTGATGGGCCCTGAAACTGAGGAACAGAGGGGAGAGCAGTGTGTGGGCATTTCATGATGTAACTGACTTTGAAGCTGAAACTTTTGATGTCTGTGTGTCCGTCTGTGTGAAACCAGATCACTGCCTTGGATTTAATACTTCTATTTACCATGTTAAACACATCACAGCATCCAGATGGCAAAATTAGTAAACATGGAAATGATTAAAATGGGAAACATCCAATAAAGTAGAAAACTCACATGAATAAATTCTTTATGTAGCTTCCAAATAAAAACGTTTTTGCTGTATTTGTGGTCTTTCTCTTAATAGACCACTCTCACTTTTTATCCAACCAGCCACTAAATTCTAACTTAAGATTCTCCATCGTGTTGTTTATCACACAACACTTATTTCTTCTTGGCCACTTTTAGACACAGAGCAGAATAATCAGATTCCATGCACCTTCTTCTCCATTAATGAATTAGGCATCTCAACATCTGCAGCAATCACTGCTTTATATTTTCTCTTTTATAGCCGAAGGGTGGGGGGGATGTGTGAAGTATGTCACCTGCCTTGAATGAGGATGATGGGTTAGCTGCAAGGAGGCCGGCCTTCATGAGAAGAGACGCAACACCTGTAGAGCAGCGTCATGCTCTTTTGAAGTGCCTGTTTGTATTGTTGAAGCCAACAAAGGAATTTTTCTACCTCTGCACTCCCGGGAGAACATTAGTCAAACTGCAGAGATAATGCACTCATGCACTGATGCACCGCGTAGTTGTGCGTGCACTTGATTACTACACAGAATGCTTTAAAGAGGCGCATCGTGGTTTTAGGTATATGCTGCTGTAAGATGTGGTCTGGTGGAGGTGGTGGGGTGCACAGCCTGGAGGTTGGAGAGAGGTCATCCAGATCAATGAGCGCTGAGGTTGTGGAGGGAAGGAGGAGGAGGAGGAGGCAGACATAATCACTCATTAGTCACCTTTTCACGTCTGTCGCTCAAAGAGGTTGAGAGACGAGCATGAGATTCACATCAGGTCCAATTATCCAAACAAATTATGTGTTTTACCTAATTACCACAGATATACCACTCACAATGGGATGTATGTTTGGTTTTACTTAGATATTCAGTGCTAGAAAAATGGAGGTGTAACGTCATGATTGACAGATATTTTAGCTTTATTTTTGCACAATGTTTGGAAGTGGAGACACGTCGACCGTCTTTATACACAGTCTATGGGCAGGACGTCTGGAAGTGAATAAGGCATCGCAATTAATCCTTCTACTAGAATCTATTTGAGTTCATGACCTTGAGCTCTGGCACCAGCAGCTTCTTTCATTCAGCTGCAGGAGCTCAGGCCAGTCATGGTTTAATAGGGCATCCACTGCCTTGCCCAGAGAGAACCACCGCACCCTGTGCGTCCTTGTTGCAGTAAATACATTGAAATGAAATGTCGGAGTCAGGCTAATATGCAGAGTTGAGCCTTGTAACGTGACCAAACTCTCAAAGAGCCTCTCATCACAGTGATGAACACTAAGAGATTCACAGTTTGAGCTATTTATGGATTTATTATTTATTTGTCAAACAAGATTAGTAACAGGAGAAAAAAGGCCCTTGTTATCTAGAACAAAATAGCCAATCACAGAAAAAGCATTGTCATCAATACATTTTTTTTATTATACAATGAGAGTTCACATATAAAATAATAATATGATAGATATTTTCTGAAAACTTTTTGAAATCAAACAATAGTAAATGTAAACTTACTATGTAACAATTTACACCAACCATGAAAAGGAAATTTATTCAACACCTAATTATTGCAATTAGTCATCTTTTTTCTTTTTTTTGCCTTAGGCATCTCTCAGTTATCAAGTCAAGGAGCATTAAATTACTCTCAGCATGTAAGCGTTAAAAATTGCTTTTGTTCTGTATTGTGGTCGTGTGCACTTCAAAGACTGGGAGAACTGGATGCCTGTTATGATGAGCAAAAAGAAATCATGAGACAACTTTTTTGTTTCAGTTAACAGTGCAAGTAGCAGAATTTGAATGTAATATACATTAAAAACATTTGACATTATTAACAAATTACATTAAAATAACCTCCATGTCACTATCATAATCCTATTTGGCCTGAATGCATCTTTCCATAAAGCAGTTTGAGCATCAAACAACTGAGAAAATCAACTTAATCCAAATAATAATAATATTTTTGTTAAATGAAGTGCCTCAAATATCTAAAATCTTACAAACACTTAGTAGCTTTTGAATAAAAGCATAATTTCTTTGTGACTGGGAGCCAAACATGGGGGGAAAAGGATGCATGCCCAAATTCCTCTGTATTGCAGTGGACATGCAGTGGTAAGTGAGATTGGGTTTATCAGTTACAAGGTGACTGGCAGGGGAGAGTAGTGGGGTTATCATTAGCAGGGACTGGCGCTGGCCTCTGGTAGTTCCAGTAATTACCTCACAAAGGGTGGTGCTTGC